GTCCGGACAAAGATGGAAACTGAGATAAAGACCGAAAAAACATGGAAATAAATCTAAGGAATGTAGAATTAATTAAATGAGTCATAACATTGGATATGTTCATTTACAATAAGAAATTTATTTGATAATATATTTGTATGGTTGGAATCTCGCGAACCGGAATTCGCGACACTATTTGCAAGTAAAATTTTATCAGTGAGCATTTGCTTCACCGAGTTAATTCATCAGTACCTGTCTCTTGCTCACAAATAGTATATGCTGATGTTTTTATTGGTAGATCATTCCCAAAAAAAAAAAAGTAATAATAATGACATTAAGTTTGGTAGAGATAAATGATCTTTAATTCGTTGATAAAATTTTCGGAAAATTTATCTTGTTGAAATTTAGCGCAATATTTTTTCCATCCTTCTGTTCTGCTTTCAGTGCTTAATTACACTTATAATGATTAAAATCGCTATTGCGCATAGGAATTCACAATAATTCAAAACTATTTGTCATTTTTTTTTAGAAAAGAAAATGTTTTAAAATGTTAGGAATGAGTAAGATTTCATTTTTTTTACTGAAAAGTACACAACGATACACAACCCAACCCGAACTTTTTTTGATCAAATTTGAAATATTTCTGATGACAAATATCAAGACCTGCATTCAAGATTAATTTCATGAGTCTTTTGACACCAAATTTGTTTCAAAAATTTGGTTTTCTTCTTTTGTAACAAGCAAAACTCGACTTCCTTGCTTCCTTTATTGAAAGAAAGCTGACTATATTTGGCTTCGTTTCGGCTTTATCCTCCAATAATTCATTTCAATCTATTCCTCTGGGTTAAAACAACGATTGTGTGCCATCCGCGTTAATTTCCATTTAGTTAATAAATGTAATATGTATTCCTGCCATTCAGCTAAATCAAAAGGATCAATAGATCCTCACCCACCCATTGATGATTCAATTTCAACAAAACAGTTTCTCTTAACTAAACATGGGAAAACTAGCTTTCTTTCAATAAAGGAGGCAAGGAAGTCGAGTTTTGTTACGAAAGAAGAAAACCAAACTTTTGGAACAAATTTGGTGTCACGAGCCAGGAATGTCAGCAATAATAATTAAAGCTCCTTACCGGCTAAAAAAGATTAATTCGACTTCTCAATGAAATTAAGCAATTAAATCTGAAGCCAATAGATCAATTGCCTCAGAAAGAAATGTAACAACGACTCGAGGCAAAAAGCCGACTGATCGAAGCAAAAATAAAACACCCCAAACTATATATTACTTTGCAAACAACAAATGACAAACGGATGGAACACCTCCACAAATGTGTAGCTTCTCAACAAAGAAAAGGAGCAAAATACAAGGAGATAACCGCAGGAGATAAAGATATTTTTAATTTAATAAGTGAAGGAAAAGGAGCCATTATTACTCTAGAAGGGATAAGAATGAAACAGAGCTTGTTCTTCTTTGCTTAACAGAACAACTAACGCGAGAGCCTGAAACTCCAAAACTAACTGCAGATAGCACAGTTAATTTACTTCAATTGTCTTCACCAATATATGGTGGTGCCCAATTCATCCGCAAGCAATTCCAGATATTCAAAAATTGAATTATCTGATCTCTTGCCCCAAAAGAAATGCAAGCGATGAGAGGTTAAATAAGACTTGTATTATTGGAAAAATATGAGGATTCGTCAACAATGAACAAATCGCTTCACAATGAACTCCACTCTGGCAAGAAAATTGATAGAGAATAGATAATAAATGTCGAGACTATGGAAAGAGTATTTCGGCAACTGGAGAAGCTTGAAGAAAGTCTGGAACACTTAAACATAGAAACAGCGATTGAGAGTAGACTACCACGTTGGATATTAAAAAAGATCTATCAGCAACGTGAAGAAGACTCAAGTTGGTCGGTTATGAAATTAAAAGGATTCTTCGGGAAATTGGTCAATAGAAACTGGTCAAGCGCAGGAAATTTATATTACTATTAAACCGAAATTAATGGAGAGCCAGAGGTCGATTGGAAAATTCAGAACTGGACGACGATGGTAAGTATCCAACTTATCTACCTAAAGACCATTCTACAACTGAGCTTCTTATCCAACAAAAGCATGAAGAATTATGCCGTGCAGGAAATGCCCATACTTTGTCAGAATTGAGGCGTGAATTCTGGATCCTAAAAGAAAGAATAGAAATCAAAAAAATTTTAAACCAATGCATGGCCTGTAAATGTTGGAATCCGAAGTCAAGCTACCACCTATGCCAAATTTTCCTGAATCGCGAGTCACACGCTCCAAGACCTTCGGACAAGTTGGATTAGACTATCTAAGTCCTCTTTCTGTCAAAGTTGATACTGGAGTTATCAAAAGATGGATCGCTCTTTTTCCTGTTTTACAACCAGAACAATACATCCGGAAACGGCTGAGAACTTATCTGTCGAAAGCTTTATGGATGTACTTAAGAGATTTGTACCTCGGCGTGGACACCCTAAATTGTTTCAAGTGACAACGCTAGCCAATTCCAATTGGTCTTCAAGACCATTATGCAAAGGAATTCGGATTTCTTACCAAGAAAATTGACAATGTGGAAGAATACGATACCTAAAGCTCCATGGAGAGCAGGCGTTTATGAAAGAATAGTTGACCTCACAAAAAAGGCCTTAAGGAGAGCCATAGGCAGAAAACTCGGATTTCTTACCAAGAAAAGTTTTATGGATGTACTAAAGAGATTTGGGAGAGTTAATTGCTACAATAATGGAGATAGAATGCATCATCATCAGTATTCATCCGCTAACTTACATCAACTTTCATGACTATCAAGTAATAGACCAATAGATTTCATTTCGCTAAATGCCCATCGACAAATATCATTTGATGATGATGATCAAGAAGAATACACGCCATACGAGACCACTACCAAGGAGAAGCTCGTCAAGTATTGGAAAATACTCCAAAAATCTCGGACCGGGATATTTGAAGAAATGAATATCTAGTTAGCCTAAGAGAATATACCTGTTATGAACTGTACTCTCTGAAAAATCTGATAAGGTGAGTTTCTTCGCAACAACGAAGCTATGCTGCTAAATGAACCTGAAATTCCACGCGGTACGTGAAAACAAGTGAAGATGAAAAAGATTAAAAGAGGAAGAGATGGCGAAGTACGAAATGCTACAATAGAAATCGCAGGCGGAAAATTACTTAATAGACCGATCAATATGTTCTCTCGTTTAGAAATAACTGAAGAAAATTCAGAATCTTCAACAATAAAAGAACCCGAACAATTAAAAGAGCTAATCCCCGCACAAATCAAAAGG